CAAAGGCGCCGTCTTGCCCACATCCGTTCAGGTCCTTGACCGAGTAGGAGCGGATGATCGTGGTTCGAGGCGGCGACAGTCCATCAAAGACTTCTTCCTGCGCCCCCGTCCGGCGAGACGAGGGTGTCCAAGGGCCCTCCTGATCGCCAACGGAGGCCATCATCGACCCCCCTGTCCGTTCAGAAGCGCCCGCATCCCCTTTTCTAGGCCCTAGCAGTCCTCGGGGCTGGGCATTCCCGATAGAGTGGCCGGTGCAGGAGTCGTTGTAGCTGTGGTTGCGATCCGTCGTTTGTGAGGCCACACGAGGGGCCGTGTCGATCGAGGCAAAGACCGCATCCAACGCCTTTGCTGTCCCTTCTGGCTTTCGCCCTCCGTCCCCTCCACCCCCTCCCCCGCCTGTGTTCCCGTTTTTCCCAAAGGAGACGCTCAAGACAGCCACCACCTTCAAGTCCCTCCGTTTCAACGTCAAGTCGGCCGCCAGGGCGGACCCGATCGCGTTTCTCTCCGCGCAGAGCGAGCCCGTGGGCATGCTCACCTCCATGTTGCAGCCTCGGTACAGCAGGGGCCGGGCCCTGTCTTTCTGCACCAACAAAACGGCCAAGACGGGTTTTTCAGTTTTTCGGAGCCAAAACGTGCTTAGATCCGCACACAGGCCCTGCCGGTAGTGGAGGAGAACCTCTTCCTTGTATCGAAGCATCTCCTGGGCGACCAATCGGGCACGGGCGTCTGCATGGGAAAGGGGGACAGGCGGAGCCGTGTCGATGTCCTGTGGGAGGGAAAGGGAGAAGGAAGAAGGAAGGGAAAGAGGAAGGGAAGGAGGGAGGCAAAGAAAAGAAGCAGGGAGTGCGTGAGTCATTCACACGGCCAGGGCGCGGCACGCATGCGTCTCCACACGCCGCCTTGCCGCTTTCCGCAAGGGTGCGTATTTCATGCCGGTCCTCACCTCGAAGGCCAAGACCTCCACATCCTCCAGGCACATTTTAGCATGGTGCCAGAATGTCTTCAACTCCCAGGTATGCATGAAAGAGGGCCGGTAGGGACGCAAGGCGGCGTTGATGGCCGAGATGCGAGCCGGGGACCCGTCGGCGAAACTGATGGTCAGACGGTACTTGTGCCTCCAGGATGTACCCCAGCGCTCAGCAGCCCCGTCCCGGTAATGCTCGATCAATGGGAGCAGCTCGTTCTTCACGAAGGCAATGTTCTCGTCGTAGCGGAAAATATTGGTGGTGCTGTGGACCCGCACCACCCGTACGTCCGGGTAGTTTCGTTGCATCCATTCCTCCAGCAAGGCGGCGGTGCCTTGGGTAGAATTCCCTTCCCGGCTGCTGGTCGGATCCCTTGGCATACCCACCCCGCTGACGAGAAAGATGATCTTGAACACTTCCTCCTCCCCCCCCGGCCCCACCCCTGCTGCGACAGTCTTGCGCCAGGTAGGTAGTACGTTGGCGAGGAGTGGGAAGTAGACGCCGTCGATCCCCACGGCGTCCTGCAGGGGGGCCGGGGAGCGAGGGGAGGAGCGGCCGGCTAAGGGGTCTCGGTCCACAGAATCATTCTTGGCTGCCGCCATCCCCCCCGCGTTCTCTGTCACGGCCGGGTCATGGCCGCCCGGTGACGGGTGGGGAGGCTGCAGGCGTGGAGAGGGGAGGGGGGGGTAAAGCTTCCCTAGGTCGTCTCGACGCAGGCGGAAGTCGGTCAGATCTTGGACAGGCAGAGGGCACTCGCTCAGGTCAAAGCCCACCGGTAGTTCCGGCTGGGTTGTCAGGGACTGGCGGCGTAGAGTGTAGGAGCGTTCGTGTCTCATGTCCCCTCTTCGCAAGGAGGGGGCGTCCGAGGAGGATGCAGAAGAGGGAGTGGGGCCTGGCAAGGCGGCGGGAGCAGAGGGGTTGTGCTCACGGACATAGACGGGAACTTTGACAGAAGGACAAATGTGGTGGTGGACGACTTGCAGGATGGCGTCACTCACGGGCTGGAAGAGTGAAAATTTAGGCCGACACAGGACTAGATCCTCCTGCATCACCGCGCTGCTGCTCGTGCGACGCCGGTGTGTCGCCGTGAACGGCGCCAGTGGCCCCACCCGGAGCACGGTCGATGAAGTGGACGACGTGCGACTCAATAGCTCTTCCGAGGGCGTCCTGGAAGGACCCAGGCCCGGTAATGTAGCAAGGGAAAGCACCATATCCTTGTGCGAAACGTTATGCACCAGCAACTCAATACGGCGTCGGCCCACCTCCTCCATCCCCGGGCATGTGTCCAACGCATGCGACACCCGGTCTTGCACGTCGCGTTCGGGTCCTGTGCTCAGGCAGCGGCTGACATGGCGCGAATGTTTTGAAGCATGCCGACCTGAGTGGCGAGGAAGGCAGGGGGTGCAAGGGGAGGGGGCAACTGGCGAGGACGCCGAAACGGGGCGCATTGTCTGCCCGGCATGACGTGGCGTGGATGGGGATGCTTTCGTCTTCTTCCCAGGACTTTCGGTGATTGGAGGAGAGGGAAGAGCATGTTCACGCCGGAGATGCTGTTTCCTGTGACGTAGGAAGACAACTAGACTCGAGGCGGCCGTGAACAGGGAAAGCTGCAGGAAAGTAAAACCTGCGCCGAGTCCAGAGGCATCATTGTTATCATCACTCCTCATGTCTTCTTCGGGCCATGTGCTGTCATTCTTGCGGGTGCTTTCCCTTTCTGTGCGACAGTTTTTTGAAAGGGGGGTACAAAAGGGTGAGGAGATGCGCCTCGTCTAGAGCTGATGAATCACGGTTCGTTTGAGCAAGTGACGTTTTGAAGAGAGGCTGCAAAGCGAATGGATGTCATCGTATGCATACATCACGGCTATCTTGCGCGGTACGTGGGTGCTGAGAGGCGCTGGGCTGCGATTTGTGTACGTGGTAATGCCGGTATAACCCGAACCAGCTGAACCAAACCAACATCAAGCAAATTTGATGAGTAGACCGGGAGGTGAAATAAAGTTCGTGATAAGATAGGAGGGCGCAACTGCCCTTTGGCTTAGAGCCCACTTTTTCGTTTGTGTGTGTGACCAGGAAGCGGGTCGTCAGTGACAATTTTGACACTTTGCAGGTCTGTTGCGGCCTCGGGATGATAGCTGACGGCAAGCGAAGAGACATCATTGCTCTCCCGTTGCATTCTTTAAACATAACCCCACCCACGACATGTTCTTATCCCACCGCTAACGCCCCAGGGAAGGCAATGGAAGGTGCAGAAGATCCAACAATGGGCGACATAGTCGCGTCCGTCATGTTGTTTGACAGACAGACATCCGTGAAGCACAATTCGCGGGGAAATGCACGGCTTGCTGAAGCCGCCTCGGAGAATGATTTTCAAAAGGGAGCTCAAAAAGCGGTGGAAGCGATCGCAGCTCCAAAACTTCCCAAGGCAAAAAAAGGGGCGAGCGTTAAAATATCCTGTGATGGTTCGGCTGTAGATAAAGACCGTGGGGTGGATGGGGGGGACGGTGGGGAAGGGTCCGTGCGGCCAACCAAGTCAAAGCTAGCTTGTAAGATATCACCAGAGGAAGCCCCAAACCTGAAGAATGCGACAACATTACGGCGGATTGAAGCCTTCCCAACAATGAAGGAGCCTCTGGTCTCCAGTGTGGATCACGGAACCGCTCTTGTGGCCGCTGTCAGCCGCCACAGGACTCCACTGGGCACGGCGGTGCCCCCAGATGATGACTCGAACGAGAAGAGGGCATCCACATGCCTGTGCGGGGCCCACGCCACCGTCACGGTCGAGGCCCGAACGTGGACGGGAATCAATAAACATGGTGGCGTGGGCCGTCTGACGAAGGATAACGGGGACGGGACTTTCAACGTCAAGTACTTGTTGGGAGGCAGTGAGAGAAGGGTGGATCGGTGTTACATCCAATGCAACGCCGTTGCAGGCGCGGATCCCGGAGAGGCCGGAAAACGCGCAGTCAAAGGGCCCGAATTCTTTGTTCCTCAGGCAGATACCCCTGTGTCATCAGGGGCGGAGGCTGCGCGCGGTTCGGCCCGGCGGCCCCGAAATCCGAGGGCAGAGCCCGAAGAGCAGACGGAGCAGGGTGAGAAACAGGCGGAGAAGCAGGAGAAGGAAAGGAGGGGAAAGGAGGACGCTCGGGGGGAGGACTGGACGACGAGTGGTACGAAGCCCGCGAAGGCCAGGGGCAGGGCCGATGGGACGGGGCCCTCTGGCCAGAAGCGCTCTCTCGTGCAAGCCAACCAACCCCAGGCGACGTCCCACCCGGCCACCAAGGCACGGGGTCCAATGCACAAGTCTGAGTCCAGGAAGATGGCGCCTCCGCCGCCCCAAGGGGGTGGATCGGGGACATGTATGACGAGCAAGGGAGACCCATCGGCTGTGGCGGAGAGGGCCGCGTCTTCCTCCCCACCAAGAGACGCGAGCGTCCAAGCTGACGCTCCGATCCACCCACAAGCACGACAAGAAAGAGGGGTCCAAGACGTAGGGGAGGCGGTGCCCTCGGAGCACGCCGCCGTGCCACCACCCGCAGCGGATACCCGTTTCCTGGATTTCAAGAGAAAGCTTTCCCAGGCGGTGATTGAAAATGTAGGCGGCTTGGATCAGATTTCGTTAGAGCAGTTGAAGGGGGCGGTGGTGGGGGAGGGTCAGGGGTGCTTCTCCGGCGAGGAGATGGATACGTTTTTGCAGCGCTTGGAAGCAGACAACCACTTGATGCTTGTGGACCAAACGGTTTACATCGTCTAGGAAGGCCTGGGAAAAGGACCTTCTTAGTTCGGGGGAGGAGAGACTCAGGATCGTGGTGCCACTAAGGGATGGATACCAAGGGGAAGTGACAGCGGGGCGGCAAGACTTGCGTGCCTCAAGTGTGTGATACGGTGTGGATATGGGGACGAGGAGAAAGGACAGTGCGGGGTGACAAATGACCAGCAATTCACGGCAGTGAAAATGCAGCCATTCGTAGATAAATTGAAAGATTGACTACAAGCTTCAAGAAACGTTCCATGAACTACATCGAAGAGAATGTTGGTGCGCTATGTTACATTGCCCCGTCTCCTTCGTCCCATCTCACGTGAGTACCAGATGACCCTCCTCGTACTTCAATGCACCTATTTCCAGCAGCACCCGGTCCACGAAGGATTTCAGTTCAGGATACTTGTTCAACTCCTCGCTCAGTCTCTGCGCCCGGTGCCTATCGCTGTCGATATCCGTCAAGAGACTACACAAAGTGGAGTCTTCCAGAGCACCCTGCAACCACTTACTGCCCATCAACGCCTTCCGCATGTCATCCGTTAGCAATGCCCCGTCGTCCTCTTCCTCTTCCTGGTCGTCGACGGCCTGTGTTGCGGCCAAATCGCTGTGATGCTTCCGTGCAATGGACGAGGGGACAGGGAAGAAGTCGTCCCTCGTGCTTTCACGGGCCCGCTTTCTTCCGTGCGCGGCCGTGGACGCAGGCTCCTTCTTTTCACACGGCGCATTCTTGTGCTCTCGATAACAGGAAACGCTGCAATAGCGGAGGAGGCAATTTGGACATTTGTATTTCCCCTGATTGTCGGCAACAAAACATACCTCGCAGCCAGGCATTGCTGTCTTGCCATTACCGGCGGTCATGGCCTTCTTGTCGTTACGATTCTTCATGACTACGATATTTAATTGAATGTTATATAGGTACCACGTGTAAGGATTGTGAGCGCGACAACGGGAAGAATACAAGTGGAGGCAGGAAGTCATGCCTACGAAATCGAGCCAGGATACTACTTGAAGCAACACGACTGCTATGCCCGTTCGGACAATTGACTATGTCACAGAGTGTCTGTCTGAGCCTACCAGCACTCGAGCTCTACGACAAACAAGACTTGCTCATTTTTTACAAGCTTGTAGCGCATTAATTATTGAACAAATGCCAAGGAGCTAAGAAAATAGTGGAAAATTGAGTCAAGGCTCCAGGCGCGTAAACCAGACGGAACAAGGAGAGACAACTCAACCGCAACAAGAGGAACGAGAGGAAAGGCAGTGTGGTGAACAAACATGCCTGCATTTGTACTACAAGAAGCATTACCAAAAAGGACAATTTGACCCTCAGATTCCCACTATCAACCGAACTATTCACAATGTACGTGCAGGGCACGTCGAATATAGCAGGATCGGCGTCCGCAGATACCGCAGTCACGCATGTTCCATCGGAGCAGTAATCGGTTTGGTAGATTGCGCTCTTCCGGCAGTGCTGCCGCAGCCGACACAGCCACGGAGGAGCATGAAATTGCTTCCGCCTCGGAAAAAGTGACGATTTTGGTATGCGGTGCTGGTCCCGTGGGGCTGACGGCGGCGCTTGAATGTGCACGGCACGGGCTGCAGGTCAAAATAATTGATAAATCCTTGACGAAAGATCCCCACAGCAAAGCTTTTGGCATTCACGCATTGACGATGGAGAAATTTCTTGCCATGGGTGTTGCTCCTGCCGTCCTGGAACAAGCCCATTGCGTCGACCGCCTGCGGATCCGAGGGGACTTTACGACCGTCGTGGAGGATTTTTGCCACATACCTTCTCGATTCAAGGGCGTCTTCATGCTGTCCCAACGAAAATTAGAGGACATTCTTGAGGCCCACATACACATGTATGGAATTGAGGTGGAACGCGGCGTGGAGCTTCTCGATTTTGTCCAAGCAGAAGACCAAAGTGATGCCTCAGGCACCCCCAGCGTCGGCAAAGGACCTATGACAGCCAATTTGCGGGACGTAAAGACGGGGGAGGAACGCAACCTCACGTGCAAGTACGTGATAGGCTGCGATGGATGCCACAGCCGCGTCCGGAAGCTCCTCAAACTGCCCTTCCTTGGCGCCCCCTATGAGGAAGATTTCCTCTTGCTCGACGTGCATTTCAGCGTGAAACCGGGCCAGCGGTTTCAGGGCTCCTCAGTGCTCTTAGGGGACCCGGTGATCGCCTTATTTGAGCTGGACTGCGGCTTGTTGCGCTTCATATCCAAGCGCTGCGCCGGGGACGGTATCCCCGCCAGCCAGGATGACAAGCGCATCGCCGACGTGGAAAACGCGGCCGTGGAAGCCGCCATCCTGAAGCGCTTCCAAGACCTCGTCCTGAGCCGATGTCCTGAGCTCGCCGGCCTTCACGATGTAAAGTGGGCGAGCATATTCCGCATTCACCGTCGCGTGGTGCCGCAGTATAATGTCGGGCACGTCTTCTTGGCGGGAGACGCGGCGCACATCCATTCCCCCCTGGGCGGGCAGGGATTGAACACGGGTATACACGATGCGGTGAATTTGGCCTGGAAATTGGGGGCGGTGGAACGTCTGGGTGCCGATCCGGGCATCCTTCTTCCCTCCTACAACGCGGAACGACACCCAGTTGGAGAGCAAACCTTGGCGTGGACGGATTCCTTGACCAGCTACACGATGACGCGGGGTTTCTTGTCCGGGGTAGCCCAGAAAGTTCTCTTCCCTATTGCCAGCCCCCTCTTGAACCGCTCCACCTGGGCGATGAAGGCCATCACCTCCAGGATGAGCATGCTCAGTCTCTCCTACCGAGGCACGCCCTCCCCCCTCCTCCCCTCCGCCGCCTTGCCTGCGTCGAGCTTGCCCCCAATAGGGAGTCCCCAGCCTGGGGACCGGGTGCCGGATGGACCTTTGGTCCGCTTTTCCTCCGGTGCGGCCACGGGTCTACTCGAGGTTGTCTGTCGCGGCCTGGACCACACCCTTCTTATGTTCGGGGAGCCGGAGGGGATGGAGGGCTTGGAAGGGGTCGAGGACGGGCTGACGGTGGAGAAAGCCGTCAGATCGAAGCTGGATTTGGAGGTGGAAGCTTGGCGGCGGCTGCGAGACATGGTCAGCTTTGTGCACATTTCCCGCCGCTTCAGAAGCGCTTCCAAGTCCGTGACCAAGGTCGATGCCCGGGGTAGCTCAAGCCGATCCCACCCGAGATCCAGTCACCAGGGGTCAAACGGCGGTGCTCAGGTGCGCGAACGCTCTGATCCTATAGACAAGAAGTCTTCGGGCGGTCGCCACCAGGTCCGCCAGCCCGTTGCCCTCACCTCCATGTACGACGAGTCGGGACGCGTCAGCGAGGCGTTTGGGCTGAACACCTCAGGACAGTCAGGGTCCCGCGGCAACCCCGCCTGCCTTTTCCTTGTTCGCCCCGATGGCTACGTGGGCTGGCGGGCAGGGGATTGGGATCTGGGCGGGCTGCTCACGTACTTGGAGCCGCTGTACCCTAGGGGACTATGTGACCTCTGAGGTTCACGAACTCAGATAATTGGATCGTGGAGGCTGGTAAGGCACTATCTACATTTTGAACAAATGCGAGGACCTGATTTAAAAAAGGAGAGGGAGGCCTCAGGCGTGGGTCGACATGAAAGGGAAATTGCAGACATCTGGTAAAATACAAGCACCCGTAAATGGAAGGTACTCCAGACCGCGGAACCGGGAAATGACACAAAAATAAATCGCAGCATTCGATGGCTTGTCTGCAGCATCGTCTTATTTTTACACGACTCGTTACTCTTATATCGCTTTTGCACGGTCAGTGCTTGGCACCCCTGAAATTGCTTTTCAGGATGTAGAATCCTTGCGGGCACAAGCTTCGTTTCAAGCAAAATAAATTCATCTTTCAACATCTACAACCTGTCGAACTCCCTCTTTCCTGGCCTTCCACACCTGCCTTGTTCTTCCATATATTTTTCCTTAGAAGTCTTCCTCGCTTCCAATGTTGTTTCCATTATCGGTTGCTTCACGATCAATCCTGTCCAGCAAACAAGGGCCCGCGTCGGCTATCTGCCTCGTCCTTCCGTTTTTCACTCTTCTTCCTCTAATTTCCGCGGATTTGGTCTCTTTTCTCGGCATACAAGGGCTCAAAGACACCCTCGGTGCCTGATTATCTTAAGTTGAGTATTGTCAATAAGCTAGTTACTGTCTCCTGACTTCGCAACCACACGCATGCCTCTCGCCACACGTCCTTGACATGCAGCCTCTGTATATGGCGATCCAGAGGATATCCACCACCTCTGGTTGCATTGTAAATATCTTCTCCCGGATCCCGCCTTCCTTTCCGTCCTGTCCTTTTGGAGAACGACACGCGGATTCTTTCAGGCTGGAACAAAGTGCCTGCTGTCCCGCCTTTTTCTTTCGTGAGCGCATCCTCCACGATCAATCGTGCAGTGAACACGCATTTGACCACAGGCATCAGACGATCCGAGCCGCCCAACGCCAGCACATGTATAAAACTACGCATCAACAAGAGTCAGTCCATGATTTCCTCCGAGATATGTTCACAATTAGACGACCGTGTACCCGTCTGTCCCACCGGGGGGGTCCCTGCCAGGCCCCTCGCCGGCTTGGGCGTTGGAGATGCTTTGACCTCTGTTGCTGCCGTACAGTGTGTCCTGCATCTCGTCAACGTGGCTGCCCATCCGTTCCTCCTGCCTCAAGCCCTCCCCCTGCCGCGGTATCTCATGCCCGCCCTCGCTTTCGTTGCAGCCATGTAGAGCCGGAGACGCCATGCTCGCGGAATGCATAGATTGGAAAAGAAAAGACGGGTGCTGCTCCCCTCCCGCGTTGCTGCCCCCAGGAAGGGGCGGTCTTTGGGCACCGCCGCTGGAGGGACACCGAATATCTGTGATAGCTCCTGTGCCTTGGTGATAGCCACCGTGCACTCCCATGCCCGACCCCGCCGAGTGCATCGCGTACATGGATGTGCTCGGCACTTTTCCCTCCTCAGATCCCGTGTGTCCTTGTGCACCCTGGTACCCCCCCCTGGGCCTGCTGGCCGCACTGAAATTTAGCATGGCTTGGGGCCCCGGCGGGAAGGGTGGCAGGACGTTGGGCATGGGGCCTAGGCCCTGTCCCGTGCTACTGTAGTAGGCCTGGTTCTGAAACGAGGCGGCGTTGCCGCCATGACCCTGAGCATTGGACAGGTTGTAGTGTCCCGGGGCGGGGATGGGCTGGTGATGCGATTGCTGTGAACGGCTAACGTCGAGAGAGGGTGCGGCTGTGGACTGCCCCCACGACGCGTCCCAGGCATGACCACTTGGGAAACCTTCCTCGATACCCCCTGCCTTGTTTTCGGCGTGATATTGCCTCGTCGGGAAAGGAGGGTGTTGCTGCGAGGAATGTGGCGCGGAGAAAGACGCTAAGGACTCGGACGTGGACAGGCCCCCCGGCGTTCGACCTGAGTCTCGTCCTCCCAACGATTGCAGCGATCGAGCCACGTCTTGCGCTGGGAAAGCTGAGTTGGAAAGGCCAAAATATCCATGCTGCTGTTGGGCCTGCATTTGAAGGGACTGGACGGCCTTTGGCGAGGGCGGGAGGCAGCCGCCCTGCTGATGCGAGAAAATCTCATGGGGAGGGCCCCTGTCTCTTGGCAAGTACATCTGGTCCCGCTGCACCTGTGCGGCCCCTCGGTCGCCTTCGGCATGCTGCAGGGAGCGACCTTTGCTCACGCTCGCGTTCCGTTTGTCCCGACGCAGCAGACAGTAGTAACGGTTCTTGACCGAGTTCCCTGTCCGACCCGGAAGGAGCTCGGCAATCTTGCTCCATTTGTTGCAGAATGCGCGATGGAATTCCAGAATGACTTTGTCCTCCTCAGGCCGCCAGGCGTCTCTTCGAATGTCGGGCTTTAGGTAGTTGTGCCAGCGTTCACAACATTGTTTGGCTGACCGCTCTGTCAACAGAGACGAGATATAGTTCCAATCCTTGGCGCCGTTGCTTGAAACCGACTCCCGCAAAATCCCATCCTCGCTCGGTGTCCATGCTCGCTTCTTGAACCCTTTGTTCGCTGCCTCCGCCGCGCCTGCGTGGACGGGACTGGCGCCTTCGGCCTCGTCGTAGTCCTGAAGAGGGGGGGCGCCCAAGACGAGCCAGCGTGTGAGGAAGGAGCACGGTGCTCAGACAGTTGAGAGAAGCAGTTGCAACCTTGGCTCACACATGTCTATGCCCTATACAATCAATCGTAAGCTTATTTTTTTAACAATCCATAGACTACAGAAAATATTGCGCCACTGAAGGGTTCCCGAGACTGGTGTCGCTACAGCACTCCTTGTTAGACCGTCGCCCTTTGACATCTCACACGCCCTCGCATGAAGCAGCAACACTCTCTATTCGTCCTCTTACCCAGTTGTACACGTGGACCTACCTGAACTTCAGAAGTCTGTTGCACCATCGTCCCATCGTGCGTCAGACTGCTTGTGTGGCTGCTCCCTCCCTCGCTGTCCAAGTTGTCCGCACCAAACGGCAACCAGGAAGACCGATACTTCTCGTGCGGCTTTTGAGCCGTGGACAGAACAAGTTTACTCGAACGGTCCGACTTCACGCCCTGTTGAAACGTGGTTGAACGTGCGGGAGACAAGTGTGAGAATGGCATTACACACCGCTTAGGCCTCGGACCGTAGAAATTGAAAAACATCAATGACAGGAAAAGTAATGCTAAGAGGAGCCACGAGACACTTTGCCCTGCCCCCTCTTTCGCCTCAGAGGGTCATGATGCTTACGTCGATATCTTCGCGCCCTGTCTGCCAGGAGCCTTCGGGAGCGCTGTCGCGGGGAGCACGTGAAGCATGATGCACGCTAGAGGAGGGATTGTGGTGGGTGGAAGGGGCTGCAGTAGAAATTGACGGCAAGTAGTCGCGTTGATCGTCGAACGTGTTGTAACTTCTTGTCTCGCTGTCGCTTTGGGTCATTGAAAGAGACTGTTGCTCCCCTCAGTGCCTAGCCCTTGTCCTTGACTCCCTCGAATCCAGCTGAGATAGAGTCAAGACAGCCCCCACTGTGTCGGTGAAAATGTGCTAAAAGTTATGCGGATGTTGGTGGCAAAAGGTAGCTTGGGTAAAAAAATGACGAAGCTGGGTCGTACAAAAGTACAAGCACACGCTTTGAGAAGCCGAGAAGACAGACCTCGTTAGGTCCTCCTACGCAGTCAGAGAAAGCGAAAATTTTCTGCGTATGTTCTTCGCATAATAGCACAAAAAAATGTCGACCACAACCGTAGAGCTGCAGAGCGCAGTAAATCGAGAAACTTTTTTTTTCTCGGGGCCAGAGGACATATCGGGTGCAAATTATTCGAGCCTGTGCGTCTGTGGCCGCCACGTCCAGGCGACCGTTTCCTCGCGAAATTACAAAACTCCACTTCAGCCTGCATAACACCGCCGCACTTGCCTTTCCAGGCCTGCAACCGGCGTGCGGCACATGGACAGCTTCAGAAATGTCAGGGCTGTTGAATCGGCGTGTTCTCCTTCACTTGTGGTGCTGTACATGCCGATGGTGTTTGCGGCGCGCACTCCCGAACCTCAACTCCGAAGACAAAGGTAGGAGGCATTGCCACGCCTCTCCTCGCGTGAATCCGGTCTTGAACCTTCGCTCATAACTCTCCTCCTCGCGCTTTCCCTCCTTAGGTCTGTGCTTGTGGGGTTTCCCAAAATCTCGTACCTGTGGAAGCTTACTTGCCACTGTACCATTTGCTTATGAATGCAAGAAGATAGCAAGATCGAATTTACATGAAGCTCAAGGAAATGCCTCAGGGACCGAAATCTCGTCATATGAACATGGGTACGAGAAACATCGTAAACATCAGTGCTCAGGCGCCTTTTCTCTAGCTCGAGCAGCAAGAGGCCTGTTCGAGCACAAAGGAGATGAAAATTGCCAATATCTGAGTACACTTGTGAGTGTACGTGAATTAACGATATCGGTGAGCATTTGCATGGTATCAAGAGGCATCCAGGCTGGAGAAATGAAAAGGAGATAGGCAGGGGGAGCAAGCACAGCTGTCCTATCCTCCGCTCGCTTGCCTCAGCCGCAGAGAACAAAGTTGAGGCGAAGGAGACACTCGAAATAAGGCCTGCCTTCAGCGATGTTATCAATGCCCAAATAATTTCGTCCGTCACATTTAATTGTTTCGGGAAAATTATAATAATTTGCTCGCACACGGGACAACAGGAGGCTGGGATGGCTGCACAAAGAGAAGCGCGGGTTCCTGCGATTGTGCGACCAAAGTACGGTATCAGATGTCCTATCTGGAGATGCCGATTGCTTCAAAGGACACTAGTCCTGCTCGTCTTCGTTCTTTGGCAATTTTCTCACATTTCCTGCGCCAATGAGGTTCCATCGGACGATGCAACAGAGGACAGTACTGCCTTGCCCGGTGCAGCAGGAGTAGGGAATATCACTGACCACTCGAGTCCTAGCCCTACTGATGATGTGGACGCACTCCCTCCGACCCTTGCACCACGCACGACTCCTCTAGAAGCAGACAATCCTGGTCCTGTTCCTAGGTCCGGTGCGCTGGATTCTTTCACATCGAAAGACAGTCACAAGGATCGTGGAAAGGACAAAGATAACCAAGAGGAGGAGAACGAGGACGATGAGGAAGAAGAGGAGAACGAGGAGGAGGAGGAGGAAGAGGAGGAGGAAGAGGAGGAGGAGGAGGACGGGGGAGACGCAGACCAGGAGGAGGAAAGTGACGAGGAGGACGAGGAGAGCGAAGAAGATGAAGATGAACCGGCATACAAGCGGTGGCAGAGGCGGCCTGGGCACACCTACCAGGTAGGACCGAAGCAGTCTCTTGTGGCCCGCCTCGCTGCCAAGGTCTTAAATCAAACCTCCTCCTCCGTCTCCCTACCTTCGACAAATGCAACCGTCGTAGCACCATCGCTGGTAAGAGCACTGAAGACTTTGCCACGGAAGCAACTTTTCGCCCTGGGCTTCAAGATTGTGCTTGTGGGAGGAGTTTTGTATTCGCTGCGACACTTGTTCACGTTCAAGACCACGATGCAATGCCTCATGATAGTCTCAATTCTGGCAGAAATTGCCGGCCGCCTCGGGCTCTTGAAGGACTTGAAACTCCCCTCCCCTCCCTTCCCGAGCTCCCTCTCCACGCCCCGGGCCCTAGCATCCGTTCGTGGTCCCCCCCTCTTCCAATTTGAGCTCATCAACGGGCGGTACCAAGCGGACCGTATCCGCCTCAGCCTCTTGACGGGCGACACAACGGGCCAAGCCCTGACGGCCGCAGCAGTCTCGCGAAAGGCAGCCCTCACTGCGGCCGTAGCGGCGGCGATGGGCAACGGAAGCAGCAGCAGCGGCGGCAGCAACCAAGGCCCCCTGTGGACCGAGGCGCGGCATACCCAAACGTACGGGATGACTGGCAAGGAGGAGCTCCGGGAGGTGGGAAACGCCTCGTCTTCGTCTTCACAGCCCGGGGCCGTGTCGTCTGCCCACAGCCCCCTCAACAGGACCGCCGTCAATCCCAACGGGACCCAAGGGTCGACTGCGGCCCCCTTGCCCGCCCTGCCGACCCCGCGGCCGCGCGCCTACGTGGTGACGCTGAAAGGCGACATGTTCCTCTCCCAAGGCGCTTATTTGACCTCCGTGGTGTCCTTCCTCCTCGAGACCGCTCGGTCCGGACCGGGGGGGGACGAACTGGTGCTCCTGCTCGAGTCTGGGGGCGGCGCGGCGTACGAGTACGGCCTAAGCGCCGCCCAGTTGGAGAGGCTCCGCCGGGCCGGCATCCGTCTGACCGTGTGCGTGGACAAAATCGCGGCGAGCGGGGGTTACATGCTGGCGGTGGTGGCGGACACGTTGGTGGCAGCCCCTTTCGCCACGATCGGGTCCATCGGGGCGACCACCTCGGTGCCTGTCCTGAACGTGGGGGTGGCCTTGAAACGGCTGGGCATCCACGCCTACTCGATCAAGGCGGGGAAACACAAGGGGAGCGGGGGCATGCTCCTGGTGGGGGACGCGAAGGGGGACCAAGAGGCACTGGGCAAGCTCCGGGAGGACCTGGCGAAGGTCCACGAGGCCTTCAAAGCCCACATTGGCCGGTGGCGGAAGATGGTGGACGTGGAGGCGGTGGGCACGGGCGAGGTCTGGCAAGGGCGGGAGGCCAAGGCCCTGGGATTGGTCGACGAGATCATGACCTCAGAGGAGTATCTGGCCTGGCGACTGTTGACGCACGACGTGGTAAAGGTCTCACCGGCCCCGGACGCGAGGCGTTTCCCGGGCTCATTTTTCTTGCCTGGGCAGGGCGGGGGCGGGAGGGGTGGCGGGGCATCGTTGGGACCGACTACGGCCATGGCAGTACTGACCAGCATCAGGGAGATGGTTGCTCGTCGGTGTGTCAAGCGAATAGGAAGAGTGCTTGTGGACGAGGAGGAAAAGGCGGGAGTGTCGGTGGCAGACCGTGTCCTCCACAGCGTGGCCTCCTTGCTGCTGGGGCAGAAAGCTCCCCTGATTATTTGCTAGGGGTAGCCAGTGTGGAAGTTGGCGATGGTAGGGGATGCGCGTCTTGTGCACGCCTGTACATGATAGATCTAAACGCGGAGGGTGACTGTTTCATGGGGGATTCTATATGCTGAAATGCTCGGTCTGAAACAAACCACAGCATCTGCCCCGCTGTTGTAAGCGATTTGCTATGGCAAACGCCATGTCACGTCATGGACCATTGAGAAAGTAAAAGTATTTTTGCGGATGTGTCCGAGGGTCGTTTCCAATCTTGACTCTTTCTTATGTCGCTTGTCATTACTTCTTTAATGGATGGGGCTGGTAAATCGCACACCTCTACCGGTGGGCCTCCTTGTGAATCTGTCTTGTGTGCCAAGTAGAAAAAAAAATCCGCAAGTGTGTCTTTTAACTTTACCGCTGCATACCGGGCTGGGATTACATGGGGGCTGCGCGTCAACTGTTTGTCCTAATGCTGATCCTAACTCACGTTAAGATGAAGCCTGATCTTCCACGAAATTCTCATTGTTTTCGTCCCATTCGTCTTCATTTCTCACGCTCCTACGAGCACGTACGTACTACCTATCCTCAGGATCCCTCGATCGTTGTTCTCCCTTCCCTCTACGACTCCTCGGTCCTTCCCCTTTCTCTTCCTGACTCTGGTCGACCCAATCTACATCCAAACGCCCCACGAGGCGTCGATGCGAGCTCGACCTCATCCGGGCGAGCAAATGTCCTCACGGTCCTCTTCTTCCAACGCCGTGTCCCTCCATGGAATTAAAATTCCCTATCTCCATCCTCCGAACTGGAACGCACCGCTCCTGCCCGTCTCGCGTCCGGATCCTCAGAGTCCCTTGTCCTACTCGTCCTCGTGTTTCCCCGTCTCTTCCCCTTGCGGCATCAGCGAGAACGACAGAGTCACCCACGCACCTTCCAGTCCGTGGCATTCCCGTGGGAACTGCACCTTTGCCTTTCCCCCTTTCCCAAAAGGCCCCACCACGTACCCCTCCACGGCCTCCTGCCCCTCCTCGGTCCTCAAACCCACCCTCAAGTCCTTGTAGTTCCTCACGTCCTCCTCCATGGTGAAGAGCCCCGTCACGATCACCAGACCGTCTGCCCGTACTTTCTCAATGTGGCCCATGCGCCACTCCGCGTCCCCCTCCGCCCCCAACTGCACCGGCACCGCCGCCACCGCCTCCGTGGCCACGGCCTCGTCCCTAGGCCCGTCTCGGAGCGCGTTCCCTCTGGCCGCAGGGTGCTGCGAGCCCAGGTACATGTGGGAGGCACTGTCTTCCAGCGCCGAGAGGTCCACCCCTTCCAAGACCCGCTTCTCCTCTTCTCGTGGCTCGGAGACGCCGTCTCCGTCCAGCACCTCCTCGCGCCGCCCGGCCTCCGCTGGTCCTCCCTCCACCGAATTTTCCTCCCCTCCCTCCGCCCTGTCCCCCTCCACTTCCACCTCGGGCTCGGTGTCTTCTCCGAGCAAGAGGGAGAGCCCAGACATGTCCCTCCCGGCCTGTCGCCTCTGCACCATCCGTTTCTCCTGGTCAAACACATATCGGCGGAAGCGCAGGAAGAGCTTATCCCCGACGTGCCCCCCCGCCAGTCCTCCTTTCTCATCGAAGCGGACCCGCACTTTACCTCCCCGCCCGAAGCCCGACTCCAATCTCCCCACTTGCCCCTTCGCCGTCTCTACCTCCATGCCTAAGAACGGGCGGAGGCTGGTCTCTTTCTTGAAGAAGCCTTGGGCGGTCACCTCTCTGTGCCGGGCCAGGGAGGGAGGGTCCTTAGGCAAAGCTGGAAGGGCTTCGCCCAAACGATAGATGCTCCCTTCGCGCATTTTCGGCTTGTAGATGCGGACCCGAGGGAGGTCTTCCTCACTCAAGGCTTCCAAAAGGGTCCCGCAGAAGGCGAGGCGGCACCCACCCTTCCAAGCAGGGGACAAACGTCCCTCCCGAGCGCCCTGGGCATGCGTGGGCTTCTGCTGTCGGTCTGGGGGCTCCGGATGCTGTCTGTGGCCGATGTCAACGTCCAGGCGAGAACCGATCACTAAGCAGGGCAGGGGGCAGAGCACAGGAGTCTCGAATTTAAACAAGGCATACTGTTCCTGATACTCCCGGCGACGACGTCTCTCTCCCTCTTTTGAGACTTCGAACCCTGCCTCTTTCTCGCCCTCCTCCTCGTCCTCAACAGCGCCCGCCATCTCGGCTTGGTACAGGTAGTCTTCCTCCCAGCAGAAAGGGAAGTCAGGCGGGGCCCAGTGCCGTGCCTCCAGCCCGTCATCACTGACTCCCTCCCCATCTCTCCCTTCCCTCGGCTGCCTTAACTTCCTGTCTTTCTGCCTTCCTCGCACCATTTCCTTCGCGCCAAAAAAGGTCAGCGTGGCCATGACCGTCCCGTGTCCCACCGACACGTGGATCCGATCCCCTGATTTGACGCGCCCCCGGAAGGCTCGGATCTGCCGGACCGCGCCCACCGCCCACGTCACCCAGGGCACCGACCCCGGCGTGCACAAGGCGCCTCGTTCCATCTCCTTCGCGTCCAGGTGCGTGAGGCAGAGGCCGACGCGGTCCCCGTGCTGGGCTTCCGTGACCCTCCGATGGAAGGCTTGGAGGCTCTTGACCCGACGAGTGAGGCCCAGGGCGGGCAGTTCCACCACGTCCTGCACCGACACGCGCCCGCGCAACACGGTGCCTACGGTACGGAGAGGGAGGGAAAGGGGGAAGGGGGCAAGGGTGGGGTGATCACGGTGAGAACTTCTTGTTGCATCGGTTTGGAGGGTGGCGGCCAATCCTCTTCGAGCCTGGAACGGTGCCGTCACAGAAGTCATTCCACGTCTCATGGGATGTCTCTTGTGCCTTTCCCGTGCTTCATATCTTTCCTTTCGCCTCTCTGCCTCTTCCTTCCATCCCTCCCTCCCCCCCTCCCTCTGCCTCACCTGTCAAGACCGTCCCTTGCCCTTTCAAAGGGAAGCAGTGGTCGACCGCCATGAACAGAGGCCCTGAAGGGCTCCGACGCGGCAGAGAGATGGTTTTCTGCAAGGCCCGAGAGAGATCCTCCAGGCCCAGACTCATAATACCCGGATGTTCCTCTCCAGGGGGCCTGGTTCCGGAATTTTCCTTCCTCTTCCCCGCTGCCCCCCCTTTCTGCTTCTCTCCCCTTCCCCTGCCGCTTCCCACGCCCCTGCTCGAGCTACCTACGGCCGTCTCCCCCCCCATCACGGCGGCCACGGGCACGATGGGCGCATCCTGGAAGCGGGAGGAACGTAAGGCCCGGCGTAAGGCCGCCGTCGCCGCACGCACTTTCTCCTCCCTCTCCTCCGCCGGGAACAAGTCGATCTTGTTCAAGGCCACCACGAGGGTGGGCGCGGTTACCTCGGCCAGCATCACGCACTCCACCGTCTGCGCCTGCACGCCCTTGGTCGCGTCCACCAGGAGCAGAACCAGGTCGATGATTTGGGCACCGCCGATGATGGTGCGTATCAGCGACCCGTGGCCGGGGCAGTCGACCAGGGTCACTTGGAGGGTTTGGGGCGTGGACGAGGAAGCGCGGGAGGGGGAAGGGGCGGAGTATGGAAGGAGGAAGGAGGAGAAGCCGAGGTCGAGGGTGATACCCCGTTCCTGGGACTGGGGGTGCTTGTCCAGGCTCGCGGTGGACAGATGGGTGGATAGGGCACGGACTAAGGAGGTTTTCCCCGAGTCCACGTGGCCCATGACGCCCACGTTGATGTTGAAAGGGAGGGCCGGCTGGGAGGCCAGGCTGGGCTGTGGGGAGGAGAAGCGATGGAAGGGGGAGGAGCTGGCAGAGGAGGACGAGGAGCCAGAGGAAGAGGCGCTGGCGGTGGGGGCTTTACTCGCGGGATCCACCGCCTCCAGAGAAGGGTCATTTGCAGCAGGTCCTTTCTTGGCTTTCGCTTCCCGAACCGGCTGCGAGAGCCCACTGGTTGTCTCGGATTCCTCCGCGCACATCAATGCGCCCTAATTTTCTGTTCGCTGCCGCCTGTGCTACAAAATGTTGCGGAGTTCTTCAAGTCGATGGTGCCGCCGCCCCGCCCAAGCACCCCATCCAACCAGGAATGCAACGACGAGGCGATGTGGCTAGGATAATACCTGGAAAAGGGGGGGGCGCAAAGAGGAAGAGCATGATATGTCAGTCGGGAGAAAGAGTGCCGGGCGACGAGGTCACTATCACCAATGTAGGCAGTTAGTGCGAGCGTGCATGCTGGGTCACGGGGTCAAAGATGGCCACACGTGTTGTTTTGCCTGTTGCTTCCCCACAAAAGGCTGGGCTCAAGAAAGAATGGGTCTGGAATGTTCCGTCACACCGAGACTTTGTTAAGGGCTGCTGCGACTTCTAATTCAATTCCAGCAGTCGTGGCTTTGAGCAGTAAAACTCAAGGATGATTATGTGCAATTATCGTTCACTGAAACATTGAATTGTGCAGAAAAGATCAATGCAAGGGACATGCCGGGGGAGTCTTAGACTTAGAAGGCTGATCATAGAAGTTAAGCCGCATTTTCACGCGCATAACGCTTAACGTACAAGAAACGTGGGGATAAGTACATGTGCGACTTCATACGCGGTTCCAGATCAAGAAACGAGAGTGTCAAGCCTGTTTAAAGCACGTCCACGTAAGCACAGGGGTCAGACAAGTCCTTCTTGACGTTGAGGTCGCACCAGGGGAGAACGAGGTCTCAACGTCCAATGCCCACCCAGTCCCTGCCATAACACCAAGAGTTACAACGACGCAAAAGCGAATGAGAGGGGTCGGATATCTCGTCTAGATGGCTCGTCCTGAAGCCAAGTAGCCTATACCCGGCATATTTCCCTTGAGACTCCTGCATTT